GTTTCCAAGGAGCGGCTGGTGGACTCGAACTGCCGACCTTTTGGTTAGCAGCCGAACCCTTAAGCACTGCGCCACCAGGGCTCCTCCGAAAGGTTACAGCCTTGAAAACCCTATGGAGCACAGCTCAGCTCTAACACACATGAGGTCACTGTGAGTCTGAATTGACTCAACAGCAACCAGTTTGGTTTGGGTTTTTTGGACACAGCTGAGTTAAAAGTGGAGCTGGGACCTGTATCCACATCATTCTGCCGGTAAAGCCCACGCATCCCTTTCTAAGGCACCATCCTGACTCCCAAATGCCTGGACGCCTTTATCTTCCCAGAGAAGCGTTCTTCCTTTCCACTGCCTTCACAGCTTCTCCCAATCTGGATAGTGCTTAACCCTTTCCCCTGCCTTCACAGCTTCTCCCAATCTGGATAGTGCTTAACCCTTTCCCTCTAAAGTAAAAATGCCTGAGCAGAGAAATCTGGTGATAAAGGAGCTGTCACATCAGCAGTGCTTACCTGTTTGGGTTTATTCAGCGAAGAGTCAACTACGTTGCTGGCAGATGGAGACCCGTGTGACTGCCTTTTACAATACTGTCACAGCTGTATGCTCAAGCTGATTAGCTGTGACTACACTGCTAGTGCCGAGATTGATGGTGATAAATTTGGGATAACAATGCTAGGAGCCAGGTCGTCCATTTGTATTGCACTTCATCTTTTTTAAAGCTGTCTCCATCAATAGCCCAGTGGTTACCGAGTACTTGGTATACGTTCATTTGTTGATTCATTCCTTCCTCAGAATAGATTTGAAGGAAACCATTCAGACTCACTTTGATTCATTCATTGATTCATTCAACAACGTTCAACACATACTCGTGTAGCTCCTGCTATGTGACAGTGATGAACAAGTCCAAGTGGGTTCCTGTCCTCACAGAGCTTATGTTCTAATGTAGGCAAGTTCCGTGCACTCTAATAGTGATGAGATAGTGAAGTAAATGGCAGTGTGACAAAGATGGGGGATGCTATGTTAGGTTGGATGGACAGAAAAGATCTGAAGAAGTGACTTTTTAAAGGAGGCCCAGATGACCTGAGCAGACCAGCACTGGGAAGGTACAGCACATAATGTCCCAGGCACAGCAAGTGCAAAGGCCCTGAGGTTGCTGTGTATTGGGCGTTGGTCTGCACACTGATTACTTGGTTTTTGCCAAGCCCAGTGCTGGGCACTGGATATTCCAGAACAAATAAGATACCGTGCGTGTCCTAGTGCAGTTCATAGGAGACAAACACGCAAAGCCCATTTTAATGCAGTGTGGTAGGCCTGGTGATGGTGACCGTGCAAGAGGACACCTTGCCCAGCCTGTGGGATGGTGGTCAGGGAAGGAGACTCCAGCAGAGTCGCAGGCCTCCCTCTTTGTGAAAGAAAGGGGCCTGGTGTCTGTGACAACAGAGGGAGCCAAGACTCAAAAGTCCCCAAGGTCTCTAGAAGACCCTGATTTTTCTCTGCATTTGTTTCCACAGGACGAATGACCAGCTGGTGGCGTTTCTCTCCCGATACCGAGATATGAATTTCCTGAAGTCACACGGCCGGGACAATGCAAGGTACCACATGGTCTCCCTACCCCTGTGGAGAATGGAAATGAATATCCGAGTGATAATCTGGAGCTTCCTTCTAGGCTGGTTTGGTGCAGCCAGAGAAGAGTTGAGGCTAGAGCAAGGCATGGCTTGGGCAGGCCTCGGCCATTTTCTTGTAGGACCTGAAGTAGTCCTTCCTGTCAGCCGAGGAGAGAGAGAAGAGTAAACGGTTCACATAATGCCATAGCCCTTGATACTTTCTTCCCAAGCAATCTAGTTTCTATTACCTCATTATGGCAACCCTTCAAGGTAAATCAGGAGGGCACTGTTAATCCCCATTTTATTGATGGGAAGACCGAGGCCCACAGTTGAAGTGATGTCCGCAAATCATTCATTCATTCAGCATCTGTTTACTGAGTGCTGCCTGTGTGCCAGGCACCGTTTTGGCGATGAACAAGTTAAAGTTCAGACTCTAATGGAATTTACTTTTTGGTGGAAAAGGAATTTCATACCAGCATGGATCTAAACCTAGGTACCCTGACTCCAGCCCAGTGTACTCCACTGCCTCATGCTTCTGCCTGACGTCAGCAGGGGCCTGGAAGGGATAAAGTCTTGAGTGCCCCCTGTAGGAGAGATAACGCAGTTACTTTGCCATCTGACAAAATCCTTTGCCAGCAAGTCGATTCCGACTCATAGCAACACGGTAGGACAGAGTAGAACTGCCCCATAGTGTTTCCAAGGATGTAATCTTTATGGGAGAAGAATGCCAGATCTTTCTCTCGAGGAGTGGCTGGAGGGTTCGAACCGCTGACCTTTCACAGTTAGCAGCTGAGCACTTAAACATTGCACCACCAGGGCTCCTCATTGCCATCTGACATACCAACCAAAAGAGAAAAAACCCACTGCCCTTGAGTCGATTCCCACTCATGGCAACCCCATGTGCTCCAGAGCAGAACTGTGCTCCAAAGGGTTTTCTTGGCTGGCCTCTTACACAAAAAAATGCCATGCCTTTCTTCCATGGTGCCTCTGAGCGGATTCAAACCGTCAACCTTTTGGTTAGTGGCCGAGAGCAAACCGTTGGTGCCACCCAGGGACCTCCATCAGACATAAACACCACTAAAACCAGCCCAAGATGGCTCTGATGTCCTGGGGCCTCCTGCTGTCTATGGGCGCAGAGCATACATAACCTGGCAGCTTGTAGAATAATTTTATCTTAATTTTGTTTGGCCATCATGTTTTGGGATTTTTTTCTTTTTTTTATTCAGGTGCTGCATTTGAAAATGAATAGCCCCTTTTAAAATTAGCAATATTTCCCGTGAAAACCCAGGTTTCCAGCTAGTCTTGACAAATCAGAAGGTCCATGAACTCCATGCTGGAGTGTTCTCCTGGCAACTATCATCTGGATCTTGAACCAAGCTGGTATTCTCCAGCTGACCCCCTTCCTTGCCTGACCCCTGTCAGCATTCAATTTGCAATCTCTGCTTTATACCCTCTCTGCCACTGCTGGTGGAGATGTCATTTTGGCTGGCTCTGTGACTTAGTTTACCCAGCTGTCCACAGCAGGCGAGCGACAGAAGCAAGTGGTGAGCTTCATTTCCCAAGCTTTCAAGAAGTAACCCCCGAATCCTTCTGTTGTATCATTTTCCTAAATCTTAATTCTGATTTGCATTCAACATACTATTTATGGATTTTTTTATGTCCCATCCACAGCCTAAATTCTTTACATTTAAGAACAGCCCCAGATCTGTAAATTAGTAAAGATTAGAATCGGGTGTTTAGACCACCAAGGGCAGCAAAGCCTGGGTCAATAAGAAAGAATTGTAGCAATTGCGTGTTGTGTCCCTGCTCTGCTGGGCACTTTTCCTACAGGCTCCAATCCCACCCTCACAGCCGCTCAATGCAAAAGTAAGAATTATCATTCCCATTTGTCAGAAGATGAAAAGGGGGCTTTGGGAGCCTAAATGATTTTCCCAGGGTCACACAGCTGTTAAGTGCTTGAACTTGAACCCAGGTCTTTCTGGCCCCAAAGCCCAAGGGAGTGAGGTGGGGTTGGTCAGGATTCCATGGAGGTGGTTAGTTATCTGAACGGGCCCAGATGCTGGTGTTGACCACTTGAAGGTTGAAAATGAAGACCTTTCTTCCCCTCTAGGTAACCTTGTAATACATGTTTGGTGCAAACAAAGTTGCATCCCGGGAGAGGAGTTGATTCTAAATGGATAGATTTGTGTCTGAATTAATGGCATTACTGGTATTATTATTTCAGCCTAGTCAGTGTTTACTCACTGCTCACCTCTTGCCAAGCAGTGTGCTAGCAGCTGGAGCCCTGGTGGTGCAGTGGTTAAGCAGTCAGCTGCTAACTAAAAGGTTGGCGGTTCGAATCCAACAGCTGCTCCTTGGAAACCCTATGGGAGAGTTCTACTCTGTCCTATAGGGTGGCTATGAGTCGGAATCTACACAACAGCAATGGGCTTTTTTTTGTTTGTTTGTTTGTTTTGGTGCTAGCAACTGGGAATAGCACAGAGCATAAAAGCGTGGGCCTTGAGGTTATGCTGCTGGGTTAGAATTCTGATCGACTATGCCCTGGCTGTGTTGCGTTGTACAAGTTATTCGATTCTCTGAGCCTGTCCCCTTACCTGTTCAGTGGACATATTAATGGACCTACACTCATAGGGTTGTTGAGAGGATTATGTAAGATACTGCATATAAAGCGTTTGGCATATGGTAAACGCTTGATGATGATGATGATGTGCTTGTGATGATAAGCGTAAGACTAAAATGTTGCTGACAGCAGAAAGAAGCAGATGGTGGATGGGCCAGAGCTGTGCCTCTGGGTGTTGAGTGTATCCTGTCTCATTGATGTGTATCAGTAGTTGACAGGTAATACCCAAATGGCATGGGACAGGATAAAGGCGAGATTCCATGGATATTGCTGCACTTCCTTCTAAAACCCTAAAACCCAGGTTCCATGGACAGAATAGCTCACAAGTTCCAACACTCAGGCATGAGTCCTCAGCTGGGATTCTCTCATTTAGATCAATTAAGGGCAGTAATTTAGTGTTAATTTAGTAGTTGTCTTAGTCATCTAGTACTGCTCTGACAGAAATACCACAAGCGGATGGCTTTATTCTCTCACAGTCTAGTAGACTAGAAGTCCAAACTCAGAACATCAGCTCAGCTCCAGGGGAAGGCTTTCTCTGTTGGCCGTGGAGGAAGGTCCTTGTGATCAGTCTTCCCCTGGACTAGGAGCTTCTTCGCACAGGGACCCTGGGTCCAAAGGACGCTCTCTGCTTCTGGTGCTACTTTCTTGGTGGTATGAGGTCCCCCTGTCTCTCTGCTCGCTTCTTTTTTATGTCTCAAAAGAGATTGGCTAAAGACACTATCTTATTTGTAGATCTCATCGGTACAACTGCCGTTAATCCATCTCATTAAATCATAGTGATAGGATTTCCAACACACAGGGAAATCACATCAGAAGACAAAATGGTAGACAATCATACAATACTGGGAATCATGACCTAGCCAAGTTGACATATTTTGGGGGGACACAGTTCAATCCATGACAGTAGTAAAATGCGCCAACCTGCCATTCTCTACTCTTTATTAGAGGAGGGCATGCCGGCCGCATGGACAGTCCTAGCCGGGGCCCCTCTTCCACCCTCTCCCCCAGCTGTGCAGAGATGGGCACAGCTTAGCTCTGGTTCCCTCACTGCTGATATGTTAGAAAAGATTCTGTTGGTGGAAGATGACAGAAACCCAGCTCAAACTAGCTTAAGAGGTAAAGGAAGTTATTGTATCATGTAATAAAATGTTGTATCTAACTTCAGGTATGGCTGAATCAGGCAGCTCAAATGATATCATGAAGCCCAGACTTTATTAGGTCTATCTTTCCTTTGTTTTGGTATAATTTTCTGGCTCTAGTTGGTGACCCTTGGCTACTTGTTAGCTTCATTTTTGTAAGGAAGCAGGGAGGTGAAGTAACTTGCCTGAGCTCACACAGCTAGGGCAAGGCACAGACTCAAACCCAGGTGAGCCCAAGCTCGTAATCACCGCACAATGACGCCTCCCTGTGTTCTAGTCCTGCTTCCTTCCAACATGCTAGGCAGCTTTGAGGCAGCCTCTCCGCTTCTCTGGGCTTTGTTCTCTCCTTTTGGTAAGCAAGGGGGTTGAACAAGTTGGTCTCCAAAGTCCCTTCCCATTCTGATGCTTCGTGCTTCTGGACCAGCTGTGCAAAAGAGGGGCTGACGGAGGCAGAGAGCTTGAAAGATGGAGAAGCGGGAAGAGGTAAAAGCAAGCAGTGAGATAAAAATAGGCCACAGGGCGCCTCTGTGTTTAATTCCATGTGGCTCCTAATAGCAGTGTTGACCTTCTGTCCCCACCTCCTGCCTTTAGCTGCCAATACGGACTTCAGTGCCCCCTGTGAAGAGATGGCATAAAGGCAAAGTTAGCTTTTAATAGCTGCCAAATGGGTCCTGACTGTTCCTATAATTAAGTGAAGGGGAGTGTTGTGTTCACTGTTTCTCCTTGCTTTCCTCCAAAAAAAATAAAGGAACTCGATGTGGTGAAAGACATGTAGCACACTTACCGTTTTCCCACATAGCCATGACAGGGCTGCCAGAGGCAGGTGCCTCGATGTTTACTCCCAGGCAGCCTGAACAAGCAGGTCATTGGAAGCATCCCCAGTAGCTCCTGCTTCTGCTCCGGGAGCATCAGAGTTTTCCACATCCCTGCCATCTGCACGAATCCCAGTACGTTCCTGGGGACAGGCCCCTTACAGGGAGATGGAAAGGAAAAATCCATTCCCTCCGCCAGAATATGGTTTCCTCTGGGACTGTTCCTGTCCTGGTTGACCTCGTTTCTCCACTGAGGTCAGCGCTCCTGATGCTTAGCCCTGGGACACAGTGGGGTGCAGTGTCAAGAGCAGGAGCTCTGGGCTCTGGCCACCATGTTGAAATGCCAGCTCTGCCCCATGCTAGTCAGGGGACTTCAGGCAAATGGCTTCACTCTCCATGCCTCCATTTCCTCATCTT